CTCACATAACGTGGGACTGCTTGGAGAACCTACCAGCAAAGGTGGAGAGAATTCATTGAGTATGTGGGGCGTTCTGCAGAAACCTCAGAAGACTCACGCCTCATTGCAGGGCTAAGCTAGCCCTAGAGTGAAATCTATTCCCAGTATTTTAAGTGGGTGACAGATTGGATCAGTAGACACTTCCCCAGAGAAGATCCTGAATGACCAACAAGCACATGAAGAGATACTTAACATAATTAGTTATTAAGGAAATGCTCCCCAGTGGGATACCACAGTATATGTATCAGAGAGATTAAATGAAAAAGTCTATTAACACCAAGAATTGGTGAAGATGAGAGCAATTGGAACTTTGATGCATGGCTGGAATAAATGCAAAACAGGACAATCACTTTGGAAAACAGTTTGGCAATTTGTTACAAAGTTAAAAATACATTTTCCATGTGATTTGGCCATTCTACTTTGGAGTATTTACCGAAGAGAAAGAAAACCTATTTCCAAACAGACTTGTATGCAAATGATCATATCACCTTTATTTACAAAAACCTCAAACTGGAAACAATTCAAATATCTATCAACAGGTGAATGGATTCAAAAAACAACACAAAAACTGTGTTATAGCCATCCAGTGGAATAATACTCAACAACAAAAAGAATGGAAACTCTGGTACACCTAACAACTTGGACGAATCTCAAAAGCTTCATACAAAGGGAAAGAGGCCAGACTCAAAACTCTACATGGTGTATGATTCCACTCTACAAAATTTTACAAAAAGGAAAACAACACTGATAGAAAACGTAACAATGGTGGCCTAGAGGCAGGAGTGAGGGGAGTGTTGACTGCAGAGGGAGATAAGAACTTTGGGGTGGTGGAAATGTTCTGTAGTGTGTTCGTGATGTAGTTACACAACCATTAAAAAAATTGCCAAAGCTTATCAAACCATAACCTAACAAGAAGTGAATTTAATGGCATGAAAGTATGCTTCAATAAAGCTGAGGGGGAAGTGCTATAAGTGGGGAAAAGGTGGAAAAAGATATACCATCCAGACACTAATCATAAGCAAGCTGGACTGGCTACGTTTCTATCAGGAAAGAACAGAATTCAAAACAAGAAATATTACTACAGACAAAGAAGGGCATTACACAATGTTGGAGGAGTCAGTTCATCCAGAGGACATTGTAATCCTAAACACATAGGCCCCTAACAACGAGGTTCAAAATACACAAAGCAAAATTTGATAAAACTGAAAAGACAAAAGAGTCAAATTCACATTGATGGTTAGAGATTTCAACATCCCTTTCTCAATAATTAGTAGAATAAGTAGAAAATCAGTAAGGATATGGAAGACTCGAACAACACTATCAGCCGACCTGGTGTTTACAGAGCACTCTGCCCCAAAACAGCGGTATGTACATTCTCTTCAAGTGCACGTGGAATATTCATCAAGATGGAGAGATAATATACTAGGTCATGAAATAAAAAGATTGAAATCATACAGAAGATGTTTCCTGACCACAGTGGAATTAAATTAGAAATCGTTAACATAAAGGTGTCTGGAAAACCGAAAATATCCCTTTGTAATTAATACCTCAGGGGAGATAGTTTGGAAGTGTTTAACATCTGGCTTCTCCTTGTATTTTGCTCTTAGATTTTAGTGTCTGTTGTATCTATTGGTTTCAGACTTGCTGGGACACTGCATACATTCTGGCTTTCGAATCTCATGGCCTTCTCCAAAACTCCTCAACCCCAGGCCCCATATCCCCTACCTGGAGGAAGCCACTGTTAATTAGGGGATGTCTTCTTCCAGACCATTCTCTTTGCATTAGCACAGTTTAGTCTCTCCCTGTTCTATTTATGGGTAACTGCATTTTCATATAAATGGGATCCACACTCTTGTCTTGTTTGCCTTCACTTATCTATACGTCTTGGACGCTGTGGTCACCGGGATAACAGCCCTCAAATATGCCCACATCCTGGTCCTGGGACCTGTGGATGTGTCACCTCACAGGGGAGAGGGGACTTTGCAGGTGGGATTAAGTTAAGGCGCTGGGATGAGGGTGACCCTGGATTCCCAGGAGGTCCCATGTCATCACAGGGTCCTCATCAGAGGGAGGTGGGAGGTCAGTCAGAGAGAAATGGGAAATGCTGCGCTGCTGGCGGTGAGGATGGAGGGAGGGGCCGAGAGCCAGGGATGCGGGGCCTCTAGAAGCTGGAGAAGGCAGGACCTGATTCTTCCCTGGAGCCTCCGGAGGGACCAGCCCTGCCCACACCTGGGTTGAGCCCAGGTCAGACATGTGCCTTCAGAACTGTGCGAGGGTATTACATACTGTTTTAAACCACTACGTTCGTGTGAATTCATTGCAGCAGCAATTCAGTCCCATACAGATGGTTTTCTGCAATGGTTTGTGAGGCTGTCTGGTTTTCCGGTTTCACTGCTGTACTGACATTTTCTTACTTAACGTCTGGGTGCAAAAATAAGTTGTCTCCACGTTTCCCGCTTACCACCGTTGTGGTATCACGACACAAGGGTGAGGGCTGTTCTGGGCAGAGGGGAAAGGAAAGCAAAGGCGGGAGGTGCTGAGCATCCTGGCAGGTCTGAGGCCACTCTGTGTGTCAGGGAAGAAGGGGGCAAGAGGGGGGTCTGGGAGGGCAGCAGGGAAGAGGCTCTGGGTCCTGCAAAGAGGCATTGGGGGGGCAGGGTTTGTCCCCCTTGCCAAGCGCCATCAAGGCGGCACAAAGTCTCCTTCCTCCTTCATCCCAGACCCTCAGTGCAGGATTTGGCATGTGATACAAGTCTGTGCTGGATGGATGGGCATTTAGATGAGTGGTGCATTCGTTCCAGCCTGGCCGTCTAGGGCAGTGCCACCCCGTGGGGTCTCTGAGCCCTGCTCTCCACCTGCCCTTTCCGGTGTGGCAGCCACTTGAAATGTGGCCGGGGGACAGAGAAACTGAATTTGAAACCTTACTTAAAATAGAATATGATATTATTTAATTTTTTATTTGGCTTTTTTTGGGGGGTGGGGAGAGGAAGTAATTAGGTTTATTTATTTATTTAATGGAAGTACTGGGCGCTGAACCCAGGACCTCGTGCCTGCTAAGAAGACGCTGTACCACTGAGGTATGCCCTCCCCCTCAAAATAGAATATATTATTTAAAAAAAAACAGACAACAACAAGAGTTGGCAAGGATGTGAACAAATCAGAACCATCGTGCACAGCAGGTGGGGATGAAAATGACACAGCCGTGGTGGAGCACTCCTCAAACAGTTAAGCGTAAACTCCCCATATGACCCAGTGGGACCCAGTCCCGCTCCTGGTACGGACCCAGGAGAATCAAAAGCAAGGACAGGAAGAGACGTTTGCACACCTGTGTCCACAGCGGCATGACTCACAGCAGCTTAAGGTGGAAACACCCGAAGTGTCCATAGACGGGTGAATATGCCAGCAGAGTGTGGAGCATCCCTGTAATGAAGCACCACTCAGCCTCAGAAAGAAGGCGGTTCCGGCACCTGCTGCAGCGTGGATGGACCTTGAGGACGTGGAGCTCAGCGGGAGAACCCAGCACAGAAGGACACGCACTGTCTGAGCCCACTCACAAGAGGTCCCTGGAGGACTCAGATCCACAGAGACAGAGAGCAGACGGTGGGGCCGGGGCTGGGGGAGGGGCTGGGGAGTCAGTGTTTCATGGGGACAGAGTTTTCAGTTTGGGAAGATGAGAAAGCTCTGGAGACAGTGGTGGAGATGGCTGCACAACAGTGTGAATGTGCTTAATGCCACTGAGCTGTGCTCTTACAAACGGTTAAGATGGTAAATTTTATGTTTCTGTATATTTTACCACATTACAAATTAATGCGTAAAAGTCTACAATGAATAAAATATCAACATGTTACTTGAAGACAGGCTCTGTACCTGCACTTGACCAATTCACCTCCTCTCCTCCCCCAATCCCAGCCATGTGAGAGGGTGGTGAATGGACACACAAATGTGTCCCTCCACACAGGGGAGCATTGCTCGGCCATGAAAAGGAGAGCAGCCCTGACACTTGCTGCCACGTGGACGGACCCTGAGAGCACGACGCTCAGGGAGAGAAGCAGACACAGAAGGACACGCAGCGTGTGAGTCCATGGATGTGAGGCGTCCAGAACAGGCCAGTCCCCAGACCCAGGGAGGGGGGCTCCTGGCTGTCAGGGGCTGGGGAGGGGGATGGGAGGGTGATTATCAACAGGGGACAGGGCTTCTTTTTGGGATGTTCTGGAATTAGAGATGCTGGTGGCACAACTGTGAGAATGTACTAAATACCGCTGAATTGTACACTTTACAGACTGAATTATATGGTACATAAACTGTATCTCAAAAACCTCATTTAAAAAAATGACAGGCAGGTGGGTATAGCTCAGTGTTAGAGCGTGTGCTTAGCATATAAAAGGTCCTGGGTTCAGTCCCCAGTACCTCCATTAAAGAAAAAAGTGACAAACTTATTTCCCATACAGCTGGGCTGTGTTGGTGGTGTGTGTTTGATGACTGACTAAACAAAGGCGTGAACGCGTGACTAGATGGGATGACACAAAAGCAGTCCATACTTATCAAGTGGTTGTTTAACCCGGATTAACTCCTTCTGACCTTACTGCCCCCCTGGGAGGAAATGACCCCACTTTCCAGATGAGGAAGCTGAGCCAGCAGAGCCTGGCTTCCCCTCAGTGGTGTCGTCCTCCTCTGGGAAGCCCTTCCTTGACAGCCCTGGGCTCCGCAGGGGCGTGGCTGTTTAGCTAAGGATGGCTGACCAGACCCAAGACCAAAGGCAAGGTGACCACGTTCTGTGGGAGTTTTCACCACCGAGACCCTCTTCTCTGAGGCTGAGAGACAGGAAGCAATGCTCCCAGGGTCACTGTGGCCAGCCTGGAGGTGGCGCCATGCTGGTGGGGGTGGGGCTGCCCCCAGGGCCAATGCCTGGTCCTGCTCCAAGGCAGGGGTGTGCCCAGCCGGGATCTCCAGCGAGGCCTCCTCCCCCTCCCACTGCAACCAGTGAGCTGATTGGCCTACCCTGTGGCCTCTGGACACCTGTTGCTGTCTGTCGTGGGGCCACCCTCCTCATGATCCATCCTGTGCACCAGGCCCAACGCCGCAGCAGTGAGGTAAGATAGGCAGGGGGCGGCCTGGACAGAGGGGGTCCCTGGGGTCTGGGAGGGCATCCCTGAGGTCCACGGGGATCCCCAGCTCCGGTGGATGCCCCAAAGACACCTAGAG